ATCGAGTAAAATGTAAACAAACCAGGCGAAAACCTACAAATTTCAGCCTGTTTGACGTAAAACGATAGATAAAAAAGTAGTTTTAGACAATGTTTTTATTATTAAATAAACAAAACTTACCTGTAAAAAGGTTTAATCCAAATTTTTTTAATCCAATTGTTTAATCCAACGACTCGCGGACGACGCCATTTTGCGAAAAAATCCAATATTCACCTATAGGTGACCATCGCTCATTGAAGCGTCAAATTCGACCAATCAGCGCGCTAGAATTATGATATTCACTTATGAAATTATACTAAAACTATATATGCATGTCCTTCAGTAATTGGAGAAAGAAATTGAAATGCACATGCATCCCGTTCAAAGTCAGAATTTTTTCTGGCATCTTTTCCAGTAGTAGGCTGCATTCGCGTTTCAATTTACTAAATATAACTATTAGGTATTATTATTATTTACACAATCACTGGATATGAGCAAGCGCTTGCTCTGATTGGTTTCTTTACTACTAGCTGCTACAATCAGCTCATATACCATGGATGGCGAATGCATATTCAAATCTTAATGAAGAAGAATTCTTATTCGAATACGAAGTTCCTCCTGAGATCTATCTTGCTCGGGGCCACATGAACAATTTTAGCTTTTTGAAAACAATTAAATTTTGTGTAGCTTACGACCGAGCTCTCTCTCTGGTCGCTTCGCAAAGTAGACAAAATCCAAGAACACAAACAACGTAAACACGCCAAGAAAGACAATAACGTTTCCCATAAAACTACTGATGGTTAGAGCATGAGTATTGAATTCTTTTAAAACAGTTTGTTCAGTGTATTTTTTAGTCGAAAACTGTTATTTTCGTGGTCGATTGATGTTTTGGTCACTTTCCGAATTAGAGGTAATCCTAGAGTTCCTTGGAAACAGGCAACGCAAAGTTGATGTTGGGATCTTAATTGCTGATATGATCATAGAATACATCAATCTGATCCACAAATGTTTCCCAAGAGGCACTCTTCCATCAATTCCTGACAAATGAACTTGGGACTAGGTGCAAAGAACATAAGGCGGCTGTCATGCTACGAGGTCAGCATTGGCCGAGCATGCTAACAAGAATCTCAGACCGAGGTCTTGGAAGTATGGACCGAGCGATGCACTTTTCTAAAACTCATCGACGATGAATTTCACCAAGACCACGTACTTCATAAGATTCTTAACCGTAACACAGTCAAGATCAGCTACAGTTGTATGCCGAATATTAAGCAATCAATTGACGGCCATAATAAATCCATGCTACACAAGGATAATGAAGATAACACCACACTAAAACTTGCAACTGTAGAAAGGCTGTTCTTAATTGGTTCAACAATATTAGCAACAAAGAACAATACTCATTCATCGGATTTCTATCCTTCTATATCTCTCGACCTTCTCAATGCTGCCATATCATTTGCATCATGTCACAATTACCGATCAAGAACGTCAAATCATTTTGCACTCAAAGAAATCTATCCTCTATAATTCTGGCCAACCATGGGAAAAAAATCATCTAAAACTAAAACTCATCTATGAATTTCACAAAGAACACGTACTTCATAAGATTCTTAACCGTAACAGTCAAGATCAGCTACAGTTGTATGCCGAATATTAAGCAATCAATTGGCGGCCATAATAAATCCATGCTACACAAGGMTAATGAAGATAACACCACTAAAACTTGCAACTGTAGAAAACCTATCGATTGCCCACTAGATGGACAGTGTCTAGTGAAATCGGTTATTTATCAAGCAACTGTGTCAACAAACGGCAACAAWCCTACACAAACGTATGTTGGTCTTACTGAAACAACATTTAAAACAAGGTACACTAACCATAAAGCATCCTTCAACAACGAGCATAAAAGACTAAGCACCGAGTTAACTAAACATGTTTGGAACCTGAAAGACGAGAACAAAAACTTTTAAAATATCATGGAAAATTCTAAAGCAAGCTACTCCCTATAATCCAATTTCCAATCGATGCAAGCTTTGTCTATGGGAGAAATACTATATAATATGTAATATGTACCTTATCTCGCTACACTGAACAAGAGAAACGAACTTATCCCATTATGTAGACACACAAATCAGCTATTATCATGTCACGCTATATCTGTGAAACCGTCTATATCATATATCAATCAACTTAGCCGTTGTAAATTTAAATTTGGCTACTTACCTGATGAGTGCTGCACAGTTTTCTGTGCGGTACGAAACTATATAGTAGTAAATGATGCCAAATCTTTAGTTGACTCATTTCATTCTAATAATATATTTACGCTCTAGTATCAACTATTGAGCACTCTGATGACAATTTTTGTTCATAGGGTTAGGGTTAGGGTTATTCTTCGTTTGCACGTACGTCAGGGAAAAATATATTTTCCGTAAAATTAGTCATAAAAAAAATTCAAGTAATCCATGTGAAAGAGCGAGTAAAACTCTGCATCCCTGAGAATGTTTTCGCTGAAAAGAGTTTTATTTGCCAAGATATAAGCAATTTTATACGCTAATTTTTTAGAAGGAAATGGCGAGGCCATGTTTATACGCTTCCACGGCACCAAATAAAATTTCGGTACTTTCAAATAATAGACGTATTAAAATTCTTTATTATATGGCTTAGATAGTACGCGCGCTCTGATTGGCTGTTGACAGATAATGACCGGTCGGAATTTTCCTGTAATGCCCGCTCACAGCGGTCATTATTTTTCGCAACCAGCTTTGACTTTGAGTAAGACGAAAAAAAAAACACACACAATTTGAAACGCATTGCAAAACAAAGATATCCTTTTAGTTTGTTTACGAAAAAAATAAATGTTTGCCAATTTTTTATTTGCAAAATGAGAGACGACGTAAACTACAGTGAAAGTGAATTTATTTAACATGTAAGTTATTTTGACGAGATTAGTGCGAAAGCCGTCAAAATGGCTACCAAACAGACGAAAACCGTTATATTTTTAGTACCAAACCGACGAAAATGACGAAAATTATTATATTTTTAGTATAATTATCTGCAAAAATGCGGGAATAATGCCTTCTTATTTCATAGATTCAGTTAATTAATTTTCATGCACAAATACATTATTAYAGTCTACTCACAAATTTTCAATGATTCTTCTATCGACAAGGCCGGTGTAGGTTTGTTTACATTAATTCTTCGAAGTGGATGTCCCTCAATATAGAATTAAAATTTTCTTCTCTTTCTCCAGCAACCGAGGAGTTATTGCATTGAGCAATTGCAAAAGTAAACTGATAGACGACGGTTATGTCCCACGAAGTACTTGAACGTTTGCCTGTTTTCAGCTGTTTTCATTGAGAAAGCTTAGCATTTGAGTTCACACTGACTCAAAATTCCTTCAACTGGACTTCCAGGTTTTTGCTCTTTTTTCTAGTCAACGAGCTCATTGAATTTTTAAGATGAGGATTTCATTCTCAGCTTTTCTTGTCAAGACACCGGTTTGAATCCCTTCGGTTTTTCACTTTTGTTTTGACTAGTCTGTAGAGGTATGTTCTCTTTTGAGCTTTTATGTCTTGACATCRTTTTTTTCTTCCAATACAATCCTTTTTGAGCTATCTTTAAATTATGGTGAATACTTATCGAGCATTTCTAAGCTGTCATTAGACTATGCTTGCCGTCCTCAAGTAACCAGTTGAGTCAACCACTTCCCTCGCCGTTCATACATCAAATCCAAGTGCTTTAAGTAGCATTTTCGGTGGAGCCAACATCAGCAAAATATCCGATTGTCCGTTCAAAATTTTCAAAGGTACAGTCAAGATCCAACAACGGAAAAAAACGACGTTATATCATCGAGAGTAACGATGAAAATTGAACATTCGCTAAAATCACTGCAAGGTCTGCACGTGTTGACGTTTTCAATCGTCTTTAAATTTTGACGTACTTTCCAACTATTTTTACAAACTTTTGGATGTTCTGAAACAATTTTTAAGCTAAATTACCGTGTTTTGTGACATAAATTGTGCTATATTAAACACATTTTCATTTTCAAACAAATTGTTGTATTTTGTCGACAATGGACATGACATGACATTGAATGAACAAATTCGCGCGCAAGCGGAAGTGTTTTAAAAATCACTTCCGTTCTTTTATTTTAGTGTTCACGTTATATATTTTATTTATTTTTTACTAAGAGAGCCATATAATAAATAACTTATTAACCTCGTCCATTCGGTCATTACAGGGAAATCTCAGACCTCGGTCTTGTTTGTATGGACCTCGCTATCGCTCGGTCCATACTTCCAAGACCTCGGTCTGAGATTTCCCTGTAATGACCTCACTCTCGGTTAATAAGTAGTATGTAATTCTGTGAAATTTTGAGTCGAACCGAGCTTTTGTTGCAAGTTTATAAGCAATTTAAAGTAGCAAATATATCTTATTTTCATTACATTTAGCAATTCTAAATCTATATTAAAACAAAAAACTACGATTTAGAAGAATTTTAGATGATTTCCACGACTTTTCATGCGCGTGACCTGGCGTTGTGTGACATGACTTTGGCTTAAGGAATAAAAGACGAAATTCCGTGTTTGATACTCTGATCAAAACACTTGGGATGTAGGGAGAGCACTCGAAAAGCTGGAAACCACTCCGCGGACGTCTTTTATTTCTTTTCTAAAATTAGAAGAATACGAAAATTGTAAAGAATTCTGACTTTTGATACGATATGAAACGATGAATTCTCCTTACATTGCAGTTGTCTGCAGCTTCTGTAGCTTCTAAAACGTTTGATAGCTCTTCTTCTGGGATATCATCCCAGAGGACATCATGAATAGGCCTTTCTTCGTTCATTGTTCTTGAAAATGAATGATAACAACAACAAATGCAAACGGCGGGAAAAAAGAAATTTTTGACGCGCGCGAGCGTGTTTTGATACTGTAATCAAACATGGTTTTCGACCAATCACAGCGCGCGTAGTATCCTAAATATTTTAGAATACCAAATAAAACACGTTGTGCATCAAATTATTCGCATATTCAAAAATTATCTCGAAACATAGTTTTCTAAACTATATTTTAGAGTAAAATCGATTTCATGCGAAATTAGGTTTCAATTAATTTTTTTTKGATCTATGACGTAACTTGCAAACGAAGAATTGTTATAATATACTATACACTTAATGACTGTTCCCAAGGGAAACGGTTGGTTTTGTTTCCCGAGAATCTCAATGTTTCCCGAGGTACGCCGTTTTGTTATATTGGTAAATTATGTGAATAAAAATAAATCAAAACACATTGCAAGATGATTTCCAATAATACTTTATTGTGAATATAATAACTGTGAACGTCGCGACAAAATAGCAAGATGTTGAGCGTTTAGATTACTGCATTGTGCTTGAAAATAAAAATAATATAAATATACAAATGCGGCAAAAAACTAGCAAAACTTTATGAATGAAACAGTCAATGAGTTCCTGAATAGAAATTTAACGTGACATTTGTCCAAATTCACCGTTTCTCTCTTGGTTTCTCTGCAGAATTCTATGAGAGTCGTAGCCACAGCAGCAGTCTTTGTAGCTTTGTTAGTGTTTTTCGAGTCTTTGTTGACAACCATTTCGTCTATTTCTTGACTAAGATTTGAAAATCTTTTTGATGCCGGCTCCATTTTGTAAACAGTCGAAAGCAGCAAAAAACAATTCCCGCCTTTACAAACTGTTACTCGACGCGAGGCGGCCTTTTCCCGCCAATGGCCAAGCGGTCAACAATCGCCAAACTGTTGACCGATCAGTCAGTGATTTTAGCTCCGGACACGTGACACCGAATCGTCCAATAAGAGAACGAGAAAACAGTGAAAATAATTTACCAATATAACAAATATATGTTATTTACCGGCTGGGAGGTCTGTATAGGAAAACACTGCCCGAGGTCTTGACCGTATAAAAGACCGAGGGCAGTGTTTTCCTATACGGAACGATCTATAACCGGTAAATAACATTTTTATTATTATTATTATTATTTTTTGTATGATCATGGGCAGATCGTGAAATACCGGCCCGCACGGTAGCCAAACGCAGCGCGCGAATGACTAGGATACAGGACCGAAAAAAATATAAAAACCATTATCTGTTCAAGTTTGATATCCAAGTACTTCCATGCTTTTACTGATAAGGTTTTGTCTTGTTTTAGATTGGAGTTAAGTGTACTTGAAACGAGCATGTCTTCTGATAGATCAACACATGGATAAATTATTGTTCGCAGGCTGGTCTTGCAAAGCTCTAATGTCCAAATTAGACAGGCTTATAGTCTACCGCACAGATGTTTTTGGTTATTATCCTCGTGCTCACATTCTTCGGCTGTAGAATTGTCTAGCAACACTTTGCAACGTTTGGAATTACTTTTATTGTCTGATGATTATTTTTTCATATTTTAGATTTCTTCCGAGAAGATTTTATTATTTGAATTATTCAGATTCAAACGCGCATTTGAATTTTTAAGTTAACATATTTTTTATTTGTACTTTTTTTCGCTCACGTGTTTTAAATTCTTACCATTGTTAATATTAAATAATTGTTATTTAATTATTASAGCAGCAGATTATTTCATCCGTATCACTTAAGTTTAGCGCTAAACGCGCGACACGCACTTTACAGGTACAATGCTTCCAACCCATTACCAGTGCGTTGAAACGCGTTTAGAAGGACCTTTTCTCTCAAACAAAGAATGAGAATGTCCTGATAATATCTTTTATTTTAGGCTCTTGTTAGGTGAAAGCATTTGCCAATTTTATTTGTACAAAAGAACACAGTGAAAAATAAAATGGAAAGATAAATAAAAATCAGTGTTTTAAGACATTTGATGTATGATTTTGAACCTCACAACGATTATTCGTAGATCTATGGCCATTATGAACGATATATCTACCTTTACTACAATCATATCTAGGTCATATATTTTTTAAATGAAAATTAATAAGGTGAGTCTTCAGATTTTTTTTTAAAGGTCCCTACATTCGCTGACAGTCTGATATCAAGTGGTAAAGCGTTTCATATTCTAGTTCCGGCTATAGTTAAAGCACGGTCACCTGATTTTGAATTSGATCTTGGAACGGACAGGAGTTTTTTATCATCAAATCTAAAGTTGTATCTACTTGTTGACTGTGGCTGTCTTCATTTTCTATTTTCATTTCTTCATTTCCGTTACTGAAATGGATGTTCGTGGTGTCATCATGAAATCCTCTAGTGCATTTTCTAAACATGATCCTATTCCCACATGGCTGCAACAACACAATCAAGACATTGTTAGCACCTTGGTCACTAAACAGAGAAAAGGGAATATTTTTAAAAAGAGTGGTCGATTATTGTACAGATTTATATGATTGGCAGTTATAGGGTTAATGCGACGAAACTTGGTCAATTTTTACTTTGCTTCAAGGTAGGTGGAGCAAACCCAAACATTCAAGTCTTATTACCGTGCCCAGGCCTCTACGGCCGGCACGGTCTTAAAATGCAAGCACTTTTTTTTTCACGTTTGGTGATTTACGCACGACTTAACATCGATTGGACCACAGGCAACCCAAGCAGAGCATTTGATTCAAAATTGTTTTTAGTCGGACTAGCCGAAGGATAGGTCGACTTAAGGTTTACCTTTTAGTCAAATCTATCTATCTGTCCATCCATCTATCTATCTATCTATCTATCTATCTATCTATCTATCTATCTATCTATCTATGTTTTTTGTCGCGTTTGGACAACCGGAAGTTAAGAATTTAATAATTAACTATTGGGTTGGCTGTGTTATTACATGACCGGAAGCTCAAACGTATCCATGTACGAATATCGTTAGTAAATGTTATATGCTACTCGCGCTTTTATATGACAAAAAAACTATTCGTTTACAAATGTGGTATCTGTGATCTCATCGGAATGCATCAGTCTTGGCATCATAAGTACGCGCATGTGCAGATTGCATGGAAAAACAGCTAGTCCGACTTGCGTCTAGTTTTTAATAAAATACATTTTACCTTAATTTCATGAGTTGCTGATGTTATTTAACATTGCTGTGTGTGATTTTGAAGGGATTTAGASCTWTTTTTTTMAAAATATCCCCATCAGTCATAAATGACTACAAGGCTGGTTACAGAGCGTCCAAACTACTCGTCTTTGATGGCGGAAAAAATATCTTAAAACCGTCTTTTGCCTCCCAAAATCCCCTCAGCACCATGTCTCTAGGATCCTTCTATCCAGAATTGGGCAATATTTCAACGGACTTCAAATGCAAGCGTGCCAAATCGTCATGTTTGTTAGCTATTCATAGTCATTTGAATATGATAATTTGGTCCCAGGGGATTGATAATAGGATATATAAAGGGATGTTATTCATTCCCC